TTACATTTCTGCCATTGCTATAACTGTTATAGTATTTGCTATTATTGTGCTAAATCATTTAATCTCCATTTACGGTGATAGCTAAATCCATTGCTAATTTATCTAAATCATAATATGTTAAGGCTCTAATCATCTTATTCATACACCACATTAATTGTTAGCCATACTTCATTGATATTTCATCATTGTGCTTGATGACTTTTGTTAGCCATCTACTCTTTATTAAATAACAATCTGCTATACTAGTTGTAATTTTTATTGGGATATTATCAATTTTAATTTACAGAAATCAATTCAACCCCCACTTGGATTGCCTTTTGGGTAACAACAATATTCTTACCTTTTATTTAAGATGTAAACTCATAGTCATACAACCATTGCTGATTAGAAATTATTTATGAATATAGTCTAGCAAACAAATCAATCCCACCAACCCTCAAAAACGAAATGCAACATCTGAGACACTGAATGAACAAAAAGGTAAGATCAACTATGAAATTGGACATGATTCAAAAGGAATAAACTATTGACAGGTAACTATGAATCTTGTAAAGTTTCTAAATATTTTATTATTAACTATCTTCAGAAATCGATTGTTATTTTTCCAATTGGTATATCATAATACTGTTAGTATACTACATATTCCAAGACTTAGACAATCTTATAAGTGTAGAATTCAGTCAACAAAAATTTAATTTCCTATTATCTCTAGCATCATTTCCTGCATTAACCGACTATAACTAATATTGGTGACCAAGGAAAAACATACATTCATCGCTTCAACAATTATGACATTTACCAATACTTTTCTTTCTCAATATACAACTACTAACTAATTTTTCCCTCAGTTTTCATTATTACACCATTATCCAAATAAATCAAGTTCTCATTGATTTTACTAGGTTCAACTTCCTCACCAGTCAACAATTCATTCACGTCTATAAGTAAGAAATGATATCATTTTTCCTTCTTCAAATTTATATTCCTTCTTATAGTAAGACAATAAGAGTATAACCTTTTTACATAGGAAGTCATAGTGCACGTCAAAGAAAAAATTCCAAATTTCGATCATATGATATTCCCACAAAGGCTACTGCTTTACGAATACAAAAATCGTGTTCCTATTGTTAAATGGGCAAATCTCTTTGTCTCCTATTGATGCTCCACTTGAACTTCAGATGTAGTACACTTCAGATTCTAATGAGGGAAAAGAATTTCAAACATACATCCGAACTTACAACAACTCTTTTCCTTTCACGTCATTTGGAGTAAAATATGACAAAGATTTATAGAAACAAAAGGATTTACACTTTCAGGATACTAGGCCAAATTCATCACTTTATGAATGAGCTTAAGTCTGTCGATGATAAACTATCCCATTTGCAACTCTATTTCTATGACACTGATCATGAAATCCAAAATAGAATGAAATGTTCTGAAAAGTTTAAGTCGTTTATTATTGAAAGGCTTATTCGAATTTCACATCTGAATCCATATTCCATGTTTTTAAGGAGCCTCGTAAACATAGAAGATTTAGATTTTGTAAAGATTGTCATCAGATGTGATGCTGGTTTAGATCAAAGAGTGTATAACTGTCCATCAACCTCACAAGTTGTAGCAATTTGGATTGAAAATGAGAGCTCTAGAGAACAAACTGAAAGATATATTATTGTTTAACAAATTTCTGGTCAAAGTGAAAAGGGTTCGTTACTACTATGGATGCTACGATCCATTACAATATCCATTAATATTCCCATTTAACGAACCTGGATGGCATCTTGGAATCAAAAGAGTTGATAAGAAAAGCACAGGAAGTACTTATGCTAGCCAAAACTTACTAGATTTTAATGACTTGACTTGTGCCTCAGATTTTCTTCAAAAAGAAAATCGAGGTATTAACTTTACATATACTCTTCTTTCCCTGATTAAGGAATTATTTACTTCCAGTGTTTCAACAACATAAAGAGAAAAACACTATTGTATCTTTGTTTAACAAATTTCTGGTCATAGTGAAAAGGGTTCGTTACTACTATGGATGCTGTGATCCATTACAATATCCATTAATATTCCCATTTGATGAACCTGGATGGCATCTTGGAATCAAAAGAGTTGATAAGAAAAGCACAGGAAGTACTTGTGCTAGCCAAATCTTACTAGATTTTAATGACTTGACTTGTGCCTCAGATTTTCTTCAAAAAGAAAATCGAGGTATTAACTTTACATATACTCTTCTTTCCCTGATTAAGGAATTATTTACTTCCAGTGTTTCAACAACATAAAGAGAAAAACACTATTGTATCTTGTCATGAATACTATTGCTATAGTTTACAAATGAAGGTCAATGATAAATCAGTTTTATTCTCCTCTAGTCGTCTACTTCAGCAATATTATGTTGACATATATATGAAGATTGAAACATCTAGGCTTCAATTTTTTAGAAACAACCAAACACAAATCAGAGCGGATTTGTACCAAAGAATCATTGATAACATGTCAGTAGGTGAAGACAGAGGTTCAAATATTGGTCATAGAATTGTACTTCCCACATCATTCATAAGTGGACCAATAGATCTTAGTCATCATTATGATGATGTTATGGCATTAATGCAGTGGTTTGGTAAACCAGATGTCTTCCTTACAATGACTTGTAACCCTTCATGGCCTGAAATCATAGCAGAGTGAGGACCAAATGAGGAAGCCCAAAATATACCATATTAATATCTCATGTGTTTTGAGAAAAAATGGAACAATTGCAAGATGACATTATAAAGGGACAGGTCTTTGGAAAAGTTGCAACTTTTGTGTATGTGATTGAATTCCAAAAGAGATGTTTGCCTCATAAACACTTATTGGTAATATTAGAATGTGGCCACAAGCTTTTATCTCTAGAAAGCTATGACTCCATTGTTTGTACTAAACTTTCAAATGAAAAAACAAATCCACATTTATTATGTGGTGAACAAAATCCAGCTAATGTTTGTTTGAAGAAAAGAAAATGTAAAAATCATTACCCTAAAAAATTTTAACCTATAACCCAATCTTCCAAAGTTTCTTATCCTATTTATAGGTGTCACAATGAGGATTAAACAGTTAAAATTCAAGGTCAACAACTTGATAATTGTTGGGTGGTTCTTTGCAATCCACATCTACTTGCAAAGTATGATTGTCACAAAAATATTGAGGTTTGTTCAACCATAAAAGCTGTAAAGTACTTGAACAATTACATTTATAAAGGCCATGATAGAATTGGATTCCATGTTGCTTAAGATACTCATTACATAGATGAAATTCAACAATATCAATCAGCAAGATGGATCTCTCCTCCTAAAGCAATGTGGAGGATCTATGCATTTCCATTGAATAAAATATATCCTTTAGTCATTCATCTTCAATTTCATCTTTCGAAACAGCAGTTTGTGACTTTCAACAATTCAGCTGATCACAACTCCATAGTGAAAAATGAGTTCTTGTCAAGAACAATGCTAACATAATTCTTTTCAATGAATTCAACAAATAAGAAGGCCAAGCAAGGAAAACACTTGTATAGAGAATTCCCAAAACATTTTGTATGGTCCCAAAGAGACATCATGTGGACAGAGAGACAAAAGCAAGAATTATAAGACAAATTATCACAATACATCCTACTCAAGTGAAAGATACTATCTAAGATTGCTCTTGGACAACATTCAAGTACCAACATCATATGCATTTTTGCAAACTGTGAATGGTACAAGAACAAAAACATTCCTCGAATCTGTGCTTATGTATGGTTTCTTAGAATCTGATGATAATCTCAAACGATGTCTACAAGAGGCTACATCATACCACATGCCCTATTTATTGAGGCAATTATTTGCAACTATTCTTATGCACTATACGCCAAATAACCGAAAGCAACTTGGGAAAACTTCAAAGATTTTATAGCTGAAGATTATATAAGAACAACAAATTTGTCAAAACATGACATATTAAGGAAAGTCTTACAAAGCATTAATTCAATTCTTCAATCTATGGGAAAGGATATCAAGGATTACAATCTCTGCTCAAATAAAATGACTTTATTAGGTGATGACACAATTTGTAGAGAAATAGATAAAGAAATGAACATTGTTGTTTCTGAGTTTGATTATCAATCAATTTCGTTGCTATCTTCAGAACAAAGTCATGTATTCAGGATTATATCTGAACGAGTTCTCTCAAGAAATGGGGGATGTTTTTTTTATTGATGGTCTTGGAGGTACTACAAAAACTTTCTGTTACAAAGCTCTCTTAGTTGCAATTAGATCAAAACATTATGTTTCTTTAGCAACTGCAACATCTAGAGTTACAAATTCTATTTTACCAGGTGGCCGCACAGCCCACCCTCGTTTCAAAATACACCTATTGATGTAGACACTTACATAGCTTGCAACTTAGGTAAACAGAGTGGGTTAGCCAAACTTTTAAGGATTACGAATGTTAAGTTTTTGTTATTGGCAATCTCGTTTGACAAAACTCTTTTCAGTTGTAATTTTATTAACTCTTTTATTACAATAAAGCTATAAGTGTTAAATGTGAATCCAACCCGAATTGTGCTTATGCTGAGAAGTTTGTGATCCTGATCCTTGCATGTTTGCTACTTCGCTGACTATGTATAGAGGTCTTCGGAAAAAAAAAATGCAGTTGAAGTTATTTGACTACTTGAGCTGTCATTTGTGCACTCGAGCGGTGAATGGCATCATCCATTACTTTTGCAGAGCGTCCAAACTTCTGAGAGCATCTTATATGCACTCGAGCAATGGGTACGCATTTTAATGAGTTCGCTTGAGCAATGTAGTGGTCACTCGAGCGTTCAACTTATATGTTTTGAACCACCTTTGCTCACACCACTCGAGCGGTGAAATGTGCGCTCTAGCGGTCTTTACGATTTAGTTTACTATAAATTGCGCAATTTGCAGTTTCTAGGTTTTGAACCGTCCAGATTTTCAGAGAGGAATAAGATACAAAGTGTTTTATATTGGATGGTGCTTTATGAGTGTTTCCTTGATAATTTAAGAGTAATCAATGGCTTCGTGAACCTCATATCAACATTGTCAAGGGTTTATTTGTTTTCGTTTATTCACAAAAGAGAGAATTGTTCTTCGATGGATTCCAGGGAACTTGGACCTAAAGCTTTGGTGGATTTCAAAGTGGCTCATCATCATGGATTTGACATCGGCGTTATGGATTCAACATTAGGCAAGACAATTCCGAGGTGAAGACGGTGGTGAAAGAGGCACATAGGGGTCGATTTAATCCGGGTGTGGATTCGCTAGGTAATTGAAGGTACACTTATGTAATTCTTTTTTGTCTTCTTAGTGGATTGTTTTATGGCTTTGGCCCGTGGTTTTTTTATCACAATTGGAGCCATTCCAATTGTGGTTTTTTCACATTAAATTGTTATGTCAATTTATCTTGATTGTTTGATTGGGAGTGTTATTTATTGTTTTAAATTGGAACATAATCACAAAATCAATAACTAGATTTTTCAACGAAGATAATCATTTGGGATGAAGCACCTATGGCTAGGCACCAAAATATTGAAACATTGAATGACATGTTGAAGGATGTTAATGATTCTGAATTACTATTTGGGGGAAAAAGTTGTGGTCTTTTGTGGTGATTTTCGCCAAATTCCACCTATCATTCCAAAATGGACAAAGCATGATTCCATTGATGCTAGCTTAGTGAATTCTGAAATATGGAAGTCCTTGGAAAACATACCACTAACTCAAAATATTTGTGCAAAGAAATATGGTTTTTTCAACAGCTTCTTATTGCGAATTGGGAATGGTTCTAAACCAACAAATGCTACGAATAAAGTCGAGCTATCATCTTCTATGATTATTCCTCAAACAAAGAACTCTATCAAAGATTTAACTGATGTCATCTTCCTAAATCTTCAAACATACTTAACAAATACTATTTCAATGATAAATTTTGCTGTGCTAACTCCCAAGAATGATTGTGTTGATGAGGTGAATAATTTTTTGATTGAAACCTTTCCAGGAAAAACAAGAGAATACATAAGCATTAATAAAACAATTGATCCAAATGATCAAGACCAATATGAAGATTTCTTAAATTCTCTCAATCCAAATGGCCTTCCATCTCATCATCTACAATTAAAATTCAATTGTCCAATCATGGTATTGAGAAATATTGATCCTTTGCAAGGTGTTTGCAATGGGACACGTCTCATTTGTCGTGATTTTCAAAATCATATCATTTGTGCAGAAATTGTAGTTGGAAATCACAAAGAGAAAATAGTCTTCATACCATAAATTCCATTGCAACCTTCTGATCAAGAAAAATACCTTGTGCATTTCACCATAAGCCAATTCCCAATAAAATTGTGTTTTACCATGACAATTAACAAAGCACAAGGCTAAACATTGGACAAAGTTGGTATATACTTACGAGAGTCGGTATTCTCACATGGACAACTATATGTTGCCTTATCTCGAGCTACAACTGCAACAACTGTTAAAGTTCTTATTGAGCCAACATATGAAGATAATAAATATAGCAATTCTACTAGGAATGTTTACCAAGAATTGTTGGCACTTGCAAATTCATACTTAATTTTATTTTGCATATTCTTGTAAGATTTTAACACATTTGACAAATCCATCTACACATATAGCTGATTTCCAATTTTATCTCTGCTATCATACTAAAAAATATATGATGTTAACATTTTGTGCCTTGATTTGTAGGATGGGCGAAGAAATTACACCTGTGAAGAACATCACAAGCTCTACTCATGACTGGAAAGCAAAAGTTCATGTTTTGGAAAAATGGAATCCACGGACTAGGAAAACAAGCCTTGTGTAGACGTCCCCGAACGTCCCGGGAGGGAAATCCCGATTTGTTCATTTGGGCTTACTACAGTTCGGACTCAAATTGTCACGGTTCTTAATCTGAACCAAAGAGTCCAAATCCGGCAAATCGTTTTGGAAAACAGATTTTTGTAAAGAAGTGCCAAACATGGACTGCTTTGCCAAATACAGAGTCGCCACCTAAATATTTTATTTTAGGAGAATTTAGGAAACCCTAACTCGTTTGCCTAAGGCCACGTGTCCGTCATCACCAAAGTTGCCTCGGCTCGGGAACTTGGGTACGATTGGGGAAGGTCAGCTATGAGCACCCCCTCTTGCCCGATCCGAAGATCGACCTCTACTAACCATGATATCTTGTTTTGAAAACATTATGCATTCTTATTCCGGTTATTAGCCTAGATTTACTATGTGATGCGCACAGCATAACAAGTATAAAGTGAGTCGCCTGAATTGGGACAAAGCATTTCATGTTTGTTTTGAAAACGGTTTACTACTCGCAAGTAGGCTAAAATGCAGGTTTTGCCTCCCTCAAGTGGGTTTAGAAAAGATGGTTTTGCCACTGTCTAGCGGGCTTAAAACTCATTGTCAATGCATTATTCCAATTCAGATAACCCAACCTTCACCCACAGGCATTCAGGCAGATATATCACATAAGCATATAGCCTCATGGTAAGCATGCTAATATGGCAACACTCACACGCATGCAAGATGCTAAAGCATAAGAGCTCACCTAGTACTCCAAGCCAAAACAGAAACTAGTTAGTAATCAAATGCATGATCCTAGTTCATGTTAAGAGGCTAATGCAACACATACAGAATGCAACTAGAATAGGCTCGGCTAATCTAAGAATGGCATGTGAAATGCGACAACTCGATACACGTATTCAAGTTGGAATGAAAATACTATGCAGTTAGTATGATGCGTCGAGCCCGGTGCGTGCAAGATTGATGAATAACGCATGCATGCATAGCATAAGGTATGCTAAATTAAACATGCCCTAAACTAACCATCGAAAGCTAGTAAATAAAAGGGAAAAAAAACGTCTGGTTGGAAGACATACACACACTCACGCACACTTAATACACAATTGCCCTCACTCGGAGGGTCCGAATAAATAATACAGATTTAACTAATTAACTAGCTGACTAACTAATTAATTAATTACAAAACTTCTAATTAATCAACAAATTAATTACAAAAATAAGGTGGCCGTAGCCCCGCTTCGAAATGATGAGATGATGCATGCTCGATTTGCCGCACCCGGAAACCCGGTACCATGCCACTGTTGCCTCTGTTTACACTGCCTTGCTCCTCTGAAAGATATGAAAGTTTCTAGAACTGCTTTGAACTTCCTCTTGAGTGTTTTGGATTTCCACCGGCCAGAACAAAATGCCACCGGCCATGGGAATGGGATTATCAGCCAAATCTTGTGTCATCGGTTGGACAATGATGGCCGGTCGGCACAAAAAGTGGTCAACCGGCCATTTCTATCTGCAGAGCCCTGTTTTGACAGCAACAGAGGACAGACAGTGCATGGTATGGAATTTTCAAAGCAATGTGTGCATGGCCACTTTCCCAATCATGCTATAGACTCAAGGGAGTATGGCCCTCGGTACTCAGGCCACCAATCACATACTTCGATGCATGGTGGCCAAAGGCACCAAGTTTGTAACTCAATGTAAATGCATGCAACAAAACAAATGAGTGCTAACGCCCTATCATGTTGAGATCGAGGGGATCGGGGACCGAAGAGTGAGACGTGTTTCATCACTTTAAGTACGAACACGCCTCATTCCTCATGCTCGGTTTGACACCCCAAACCAAGCAAAAATGCAATGCATGTGTGAGATGTGACTTAAGTATGCACATGAGGCTAAAGTACCAAAATATGCCAAATGTAATGTGACCTATAATGCAAGTATGCAATGTGCCAAACATGCGATGCAAACACGATGTGCAACTAGCTAAGCAACAATGCAAACATGCAAAGATGATATAATGCAAACATGAGGCCAAAGTAATGCAACATGTCAAAACATGCAATGGTGGACTTAAACAAAAATGGGAGGCCTCAGGCATGCCCCAAAACAGTGGCCATAGATGATGCATAAGGACACAAATCATGCATGCAAGCATGCACATACCAAGGCCTATCACCTAAGCATGGAAGGGGCAACTTTCAAGGACACTTAAAGGTGATAAATATGGACATTAAACACTCATGTTAAACTTTGAAAAGCATGCAAAGGATGATGCCAAAACATGCTAAGAAATGGATGCAAGATGGAAAGCATTCAAGGCCACAAAAGAGGGCATTACTCAACACTTACCCTAAGCAAACATGGCATGGATTTTTCAAGGCAAAACAGAGTTTTATCATGCACAAATAAGCCCCAAAGCCTCAAACACATAGGCATGCACAATGCTTCATTTCAAGGCACAAAAGGATACCTCTTCAAGGCATGGAAGGAATGATGAATGCAAGCATACAAGCATGGATTATAGACTGAAATATGATCTCCAATGATGCCAAATCATGAGAATAAGCTAAGCATGCTAGTGACCCACACACTCAAGGCTTATAAGCCAAAATGCAAAGAGGCTATACCAAACATGGCAAACATGATCAAATCAGTACTCAACAGACCTCAAGCATGATGAAATATGAGCAAAAGCTTCATGAAGTCAAGCTAGAACATACAAGCATGGAGGCCTAAATGCATGGTACCCTTCTAGGCAAAATGGAGGAATGCAAGGCAAGTACATTGTGCATGCAAGGGGCCATAAATCCGACCAAAGACAGAGATATAATATGACCATATAACACCTAGAAACCTCTGAAATGGAGCCAGAAACAACTAAGCATGCATGCTATCCTTGTGAGCCAAAAACATGAACAAATGAGACACAAAGGGAGAGGGGTGTCTCTCCCCTATGCAAGACCTCAAAGCCTCTTCTTCACCACTGAAAATCCTCTGGATTTCAATGGTGAGAAGGCCAATGCACAAAGGAATTCAAAGCTTAACAAGGAGAGCACAAAAAAGGCCAAACAAGGCCTAAGAGGGGGAGGTCGACCCCCAACACCAAAATGACCTTAATGAAATGTCTTAAACACAAAAAAAAAAACTTTTATATGTTATACACAAAGCTCAAAACAGTATGCAAAGGGGGTTAAAAGCTAGTGCAAGATTGGGGAAAATAAAGCAATAGTGTTACCCTTGAAGAACACTTCAAGAACAGCAAGTCCCGCCGCCTTCTTCTGATCAAAACCAGCTCAAAACTTCAAGAACAAACCCTCAACACCTCCAAAGTCAAAGTATGGTGTAATGCTAGGTGACTTAGTGCAAAACTAAGAACAAAACACACTTTTTGGTTCTCTAACACACACAAATGAAGAGAGAGAGGGAGATATAGAGAGAGAAGGTGTATATATCAGATATATATGTATTAGGTCTGGTTTTTGTTGAACCCCTTCAAAGGAGAGGGAAGGTCTCCTTATATAGAGCAAGATGAAGGCTTAAGCTTCCAAGAGAAGCTAACAAAAGGGGTCAAGGCTTCCTAAAGAAGCTAAGGCAAAGGGGCCAAGGCTTCCTTTGGAAGCTGAGACAGGTGTCTAAGCTTCTTGAGGAAACTAAGACAAAGGTCCAAGCTTCCCCAAGAAGCTAGACCAAAAGGGTGCAATTCCTCCATATGTATGGAGGACAGGTCCGTGCACTCCAGCTGGCACAGCTGGCATGCACAATGCCTGAAAAAGGCAAAAAGGTGGTACCGGCCAAAAAATGAGTCCATCGACCAAATAAATAGTTGGCCGACCTCACAAAGTGCCAACCGGCCATCACCAATGGCCGGTGGCAAGAAGACACGGTCGGTGACCTCAAGACATGGCCGGTGAGGCGTGGGGATAGCCAACAAGCCATTCTCTACCTCCCAAAGCAAAAACCAACAAGTTTTTTGTCCAACCAAGCACAAGACAACCGAGTTGAGAGATCCTGACGCAAGGCGCGTAGCCGAGACCTCCAGGAACTCAAAATGAACACGAACATGGATGATCACCGAGTGTTCAAACGGTGACGTCCAAGTCTTGAGGACGGTCAAAAATGGGGTGTCTACACCTTGTCATATCAACAACTAGTTCTTGCTGATGTAGAAGTCCAATATCTACTCTTTATACATCTAGCTTTGAACTAAAGAACAACAATATATATATATATATATACATCATTTATAATTACCACATTTTCAGCCTTTATTTAGTCACTAATTACAAGTTTTCGATGACACCTATCTATTTATTTTCAGTATCTTTCTTTTTCTCAATGTTACTTGCCTTTAATTCACTTTGTACATATTTACAGGGCAAAAGAGTGCAAGCAATTATTTATGAAGGCCAAATAGATAAATTCGAAGACATACCTGAAGTTTTCAAATCTTACTACATATC